ATGGATGGATGGATAGATAGATAGATAGATAGATAGATAGATAGATAGATAGATAGATAGATAGATAGATAGATAGATAGATAGATGGATGGATAGATGGATAGATGGATGGATAGATGGATAGATAGATGGATAGATGGATAGATGGATGGATAGATGGATGGATAGATAGATATATGGATGGATGGATGGATGGATAGATGGATGGATGGATGGATGGATGGATGATAGATGGATGGATGGATGATAGATAGACAGACAGATAGATAAATAGATAGATAGATAGATAGATAGATAGATAGATAGATAGATAGATAGATAGATAGATAGAGGGGGAAACAGACAGGCAGATCATCTAGTGATGTCACACGCTTGTTGCGCCTCCCCTGCAGTCTGCTCGAACGGAATCGAATTTGAATATTTCCCACCTCGCCTCAAACTTTTTTTTTTCTCTTCTTTCTCTCCCTCCCCTCCCCTTCGCCACTGCCCTCAGCAGAAGCACCGGGCAAGTGTGGGTGTGATGCCGGTGAACGTGCGGTCGCTGTGCCCGTCGCTGGAGCGCTCTCTTTTCGGGTCCACGGAGACGGAAAGACGCTGAGTTACGGGGAGCAGAAAGTGAAAGCTGAATGTTGAAGGACTGCAGCTCGGGAAGAAGTGGCTGGTCACAGCTCGTCAGCATGCGGGTCCCGCTGAGCGTCTTGTATCCCGTCCTTTCCCTCACCATTTTCGGATTGTATCCCTCATTGGTGAGTGGCTCATTGAACGATTTGATGTTAGAGCAACGGCTTGGAGCTCGGGATTGACGGTGTGTGGTGTCACTCCGGGAGGAGGCTCTACGCCAAACTTCATTGCAAAGTCCCCGCGGTTTCATGTTGTCTCAGTTGTCGATTCTGATGTCGGTACGTACGGTAATGTAGTTCGATGGATTCAACCAAATAATATTGTATATCACTGCAACGCGGAGAGTTTGAAAATCAATCGTCGTATATAGTAATACTCTCGAAATTATCACGATAAGTACCGGACAGAGATAAAACACTGTCTGGTGATAATAGTTCTACTATCTAGAAAAACATTGTACCGAGGTTGTTTTTTGTTTTTTTTTTACCCTTCATTCTAAGCGGGTTTGAGTGAAATCTTTAACCCTTTCATTCTAAGCGGGTTTGAGTGAAATCAAACCAAATGTTCTCGGACTTTTAGTTCTGAGTTGACGTTAAGAGGGAAGAACCGGAACCGCAGCCGTGAACTGAGCCCACAATATCGTAAATACCGGAGGAATCGTCGTGTTTCTTTGTTGCAGGGATGTGGAGCTGTCCACCACCCTGGTACTGAAACTTCACTGCGCGTTCAGTAGGGAGACGAAACGGCTCGATCTCTCTTTCGTTATTAATCTTTTAAAAGCCGTGAAATATAGTCACTGGTTTGACTCTGATTGTATTTTTTTTGTCTTTATACTCGGGGCTATTAGTGTTGTGAACGCGCTGGCTTCTTCGTTCAACGTCAGTCCAATCCTGTATCTTTTGACTGATTGGTGCACTACTTGAAATAATTCTATTTGACGGCCTCGGTTCAGTGAGGATGTCACAGGTCAGTCAACGTGCTGGTGATTCATTATCCCAGCAGACCTTATGCTGATATCAATTTGGAGTGTATTTGTGTCGTTTTCACACATTTCTGCAGCGGCACATTTGATCCATAATCATTTCGATTTGCTCCTCTTTTTTTTTTTTTTTTTTTTAATCCATGTCATTTCGGTTCGCTCCTCTTTTTTTTTTTGCAATTATGTGAATAGATGCCATTGAAGAGTGGGAGATATGACTTGTGTGGGAGCTGCATGTAAATTGGTAACATGGCCCCAAAGGCCTTTTCTAAAAAAAAAAATTTATCTGAAAAGACAAACCTTTCATGCCATTACACCGAGCTGGAAATTATGAAGCTGTCGCTCACAGAGTGTCACACGACGTACACAAGGCTTTGCTCATTTCAGCACGAGGTTGGGATGCTGCTGTCCCCCCCGCGCCACCACCGTCAGCACCCCCGCAGGCACACCGACAGGTGTTTAAAACGTTAAAATAGTGTATCCAAAATGGAGCCGTTTAACTTATGAGACTATTGATTTCCTTTGACTGTGATGTGACAAAATCAATTTGGCGGACGCCGCCTCTGCAGCACACACGACCCGTCTTTATTGAGCCTTTCTATTTTGAAAAAAAAAAAAAAAAAAAAGGACATGTTTAAAGTAATATTATCTAATGAGTAATTACAGAGTAAATTGCTCTTTTTTTTAATAATACGACGTTGTACGCTGCATCTACAGACCACATTGATTGGAGAAAGAAGGGAGGCTTAATAGAGTTCAGGAATTTGATGTTTGATTTGATGATGTATTTTCTACCATCGAATGCAATCCGACATTTTAATTTTTTTTTACATAGCATCAATTATGGTGTCTCATTATCTAGCCACATTAACATTATCAGCTCATTATAACATAATTATCACAGTACCCAACATCTATAGTACAGGTATTAGCATTCTTTACCAAATAATTTAGAATCCTAATTAGCAGTCATCCTTGCTTTAAATATTTCAACAGAGCAGGCAATTTGTAGCCAAATGTGTATTGGTTTAAACTCTCTGTCTCTCTCTCTCTTATTTGTTAATCAACTAAACCCACTTTTGGTTGGTTGTTGTTGTTGTTCCAATCAGAATAGAATACGCTGTCAAAATAGATGACTGAGGATCACAAACGCGTCTCAGTGTCCCTGTTCAGCTGGAATATACGGAACAGCCCTTTAATGTACAGTGTACCACATGCAGCTTTACTGAGGTTTTTCATTTAAATGGGATTGCTGATGTCACTGTACCTGACAAGGCGTATTCATAAAAGAAGACCTAGTTCTATATTGTATCTTTATTCACTGCCAGAATATGACGAGATTAGAGTGGACATAAGGATATGGAGATGGAGATGTAGGTTAAGGTTGAACTTTATGGATCCCACACTGGGGAAATTATTGGAATGATTGTGGGCCCCAGACTGGAAGGAAGTCCGAGACAACAGATGAAGCCAACGTGATCAAACTTAGAACGTGAATTTGAAATGCTCAGCGCTGTTTGTTTTAACAGTTGTGCACTTTGGCCGTGGGTTATTAGCTTAGCTTCCTGCAGCTCTTTGCACTGCCTTTTCATCTACTACCGTAGGTGCCTTCATTGTAAAACAACACACACACACACACACACACACACAGCCTCTATCACCAATTTCTCCTGTATCACAGAATTGTTTCGGGCCTCATTTGCTGGGGTGCTTTGATTACACATCAAAACAATGTCATCAGAGCCGCGACGTTCCGCAGGAGAAAATGATTATGAAACCTTTTCGCTTAAATTCGTTTCCCACCCATCGTCACGCCGCTCCCCAAATGAACGTTTTTGTATTTTCTTTATCAGTAAACATTAGCCTTTATGAGGGTTTATATACTTGGGCTTGGTGGGGGGAAAAAAAACAGCTTGGCACAGATGCATAACAAAAAGATGGGAAATACTGCAGAAGCACACCTGCAGTACACGTCCACACAAATATTTAGAGATGGGGAAAAAAAAAAGAAAAAGAAAACACAAGCCGAACAATTCGAATTTCACTTTTTCCACCGCTGGCCAAATTAAGGACGACACCTTCTAACAATGTGTCAACACAAACAAAGCAAACCTAGCCCTGAGACTGACGGGAGGATCATTAGCTGTGCTGCTGTGTGCTCCACGTTAGAAGCAGCAGTGGCTGTGTCAAAGTCAACAGAGGGAAAATAAATAACTCCACAGATTGTTTCTGTTTTGGTTTTCCTGGAAGGAAGAAATTTTGTTTCCTGCAAAGCCACAGATAATAGGCCTTTTTGTCTTTTTTTTTTTATCAAACTACGACTCCCGTGACGTTTGAATCAATTTTTAACGTCGAATTTGAGTATTTGAGTTGCAAAGATAAACATCATCTTTGCTCAGTTTATTTTTAACTTTTGAGATTTTCTCAACTCTACCACTGCATCTCGATCTAACAGCTATCAAATTATGATCACGTCCATGCATTAAACAGTTACGGTTGGCAGTTAAGACTGTGATTAACACGACCTAAAAAGACTTTCACCGATTTCGAACTTCTCTGGCTGAATGTGCCTCGGTTAATAATGGAATAAGCATAATTACAGGAGTGGAAACCTGATGTTAAAACTACCAGGGGCGTAGTTACAGCCATCGCTATCGGTTGCCCCTTTTATGATTACTGTAATTACATCACCAGCACTCCAGCAGACACATATCTTTGGGTGAGGCTAGGCCCGCAAGACAAAGAGAACGTTTCAATACATTTGCCCTCATGAACTCACGTGGGCTAAGAGATCATTACAGTATAAAGCATGCTTGTTAAGTTCAGTGGCGCAAACACATCACGCGCGTTATATAGTTTTATCATACGTGTAAATACAGGTACGATGTGAGTTCTTAATGAGGGGAAAAAAATAATAACACATGGGCTGGTACCTCGCCGACCAAGTCCATCATTGTTGCTAAGCTACACGCGTTCCCACAGTCTACAGGTAATTGATATGCAGAAGTGTGGCAGATTGTTTTTTTTTTTTAATTAAAAATGCTTCGAACAATGACTAAAAATCTACTTCCAAAATTAACAAGGAAACATATGGACTCCACCTGGTGGCCGGCTTCGTTATAGGTTGATAAATAACCCACATGTTTGCAAATGTAACGTGGAATTGAAGTGGAAACCGACCAGCCAGCGATTTTTTTCTTTCGCATTGTTACCGCCATTTATGTCATTCTCATTACACTGACGGGTTGGCTTTAATCCATTACTTAATGCTGTAAAGTATTGGCTGGCTTTATAAATGACAGCACTAACTCAGTCGTGATTGATGGGGCAGCTGTGCAGCGGTGCATCACGGCGGTGCTCTCGTACTGTTGCTCCTCTGCCTGAGACTTACTCTCTCCACCTGTGAAGAGCGATAGCCAAATTTCTGATTCTATAACTTACTGATTACTTTTTACACAGTATAAGGTGAACAGTTTAATTGCTAGCATTAAGGGACAAAAATATCTAGAAAGAATCCAGTCATATCCCTTTACTAATGTATAGTGCAGCGGTCCCCAACCCGTGGTCCGGGGACCAGCGCTGGTCCATAGGTCATTAGTTGCCCAGCCGGAGTGAAAAAATAAACTTCAGTTTTTAATTTACTTCATTCAAAAATAATCCAGTCATATCCCTTTACTTTTTTTTTAATTAAAATTAAAATGTCAAAACAATAGTTCATTCAGACTCTGCTTTTCTTTTAATTAAAATTAAAATTTCAAACCAATAGGTCATTCAGACTCAGATACTAACAGAATAAAGTCTAAAAGACGTTTTATTTTGAAAATGTAATGATCCTTCAACAATGGCGCAGTATTACTGGTCCGCAGTCAATAGACATGATTCGTAAACTACTAAAAAACATGATGCGAGACGACCCCGAAAAAAACCTCTTGCGTCCCACCTGAGGGTTGCGACCCAGTCTTTGAGAAACAATGGTCTAGTGGAGTCGAGGCTCTCTTCTCTATGAACGGATCAGTTCAATTTTATGTGATTGTCATATAGATTACGCAATCTTATTCAGACGTTGATCGTGGACACGCCTGAGTGTATCAGACTGTGGCGATGAGCTGACTCTGTCCACTGAAAGGACGGACTGAGACACGGTCT